ATTCCCAAATCTGGAAAACCCACAAATCTCAAATATTGCTGGTCTTAAGCATTTTGAATAAGGGATATAGAATTTGTATATGTGAAGACCAAACTCAACCCAGCAAACTTAAAATTTAATTTAAATTCTTATTAAATGTTCTCCTGTCCTGTTTCTTGTGTTTTGCGGCAGCCCTGGAGGTGGTAATCCAGGTTTCCATGGCCTGGTACACCCAAGATAAATAGATGCTCAACAACCACAGAACAGGAAAAGGAAGTGAATCCACAAAGACTTAAATGACAAAGAATGAAACACAGTATTGTTCCTAGCTGTGACCTAGTATGAAGACAGGTTTATACAGACATCCTACCCCAAAACTGAAGGCCTGGGGCCAACCCACCCCATCTGCCAGGGAACTTGAACCCCAGAGGTACAACTGAGGTTCTGCCCAGAACTAGCAGACTGTGTAGTAGGACTGACACAGGTATTTCAACACACTGGCAGGCTCTGCAGCCCAAATCCCCTACTCCTTACAGAGGAGAAACCTTGGTTCTTAGAAACAGAGGCAAATCAAGTGTCTTTAGCATCTTTGGCAATAGCAGTCAATCATTTACAATGGCCAAACTCCTTCGGAAAGTGTTCACCAACCAAAATAGCAGACTTAAAATAAAGGACTTGGCACTTTACACAAAGTATCTCAGACCTAACGAACTCTGACAGGGTGTTCCTTTTCAGAAGATAGAGAAGAGCAGCCCTCAGTTGACATCCTATACTCTGAAAGCTTAGGGCCCTGGGCCTGCTGCAGAGCTTCTGAAGAAGTGATTGAGTCAGTGTGCAGTGGCTTGTTGGAGAACAGTTGAAGGACCCAGGAGAGGGAGATGTTATAGATACAAAAGTGGAATGGTGAACACAAGCATTCCATCCTGTTAGCCATACCTACACTATATTCCAGCAGCCAGTGGGCCCATCACATACATGTAGGGCTTTGAATTTAGCAGGGCAGGATTACCACAAAACAAAATCATGCCACTGGCTCTTCAGAGCCACTGAGGCTCCTTACTCTGCTCTTCTCTACCAGCACTTCTCCCAAATAACTGCAAATGAAATCTCATGTTGCAAATTGCATGGCTTTCTTTTCTTCTAATCTCCTCATCTCTAGGTCAGGGCCCACATGACAAGCCCCGGATTAGACCAACACTGTCTGTTCCTCTGCTAAGAGTCACAGGTAGGAATTTAAATACATTAAGGTAAAATAAGACACAAAACACATTTGCACAAGTCTGTCCAACTGTGTTGGACAAAACAGGTAGCCAGTACCTCTGTCCCTGGGATAGCAAGAGGTCAGGCACTCACATGTGAGCAAGTAACAAAGCCCTTATGAAGTGCACAGTGTGTAGAACAAGGCCTCTCCTCAAAAAACATCAACAGTGAGACAGTCCTGGGGACGAGGCTACAAAACAAGGCAGAGGAGCCTGTGAGGAAGAAGCCTTTGCTTGAAAGGGCACTGGAAAATGAGGCCTCTGTTCCTAAACAGGAGGCTCAAGCCAGAAGCACAGAGTGGAGACTCACACTGGAGAGAGGCCTGGAGTTTGGAAACATGGTCCTTCTGACAATTCCCACAGAACAGCATGAGGTCATCAGTTAAGTGTCCCTGGTCATTTCAGCTTGGGTTGATTCACATCAAACACTGACATGGAAACAGTAACTCAATTTAGTCAGGACTTTGTGGGAGCCAGCAATGACTCGTCACGGCTGTGGAATGCCTGAGACAGAGATAACCCAAGCATCTGATGGGCTCTGGCCATGTTTCGGGCCGCCCAGAAACTTGTGGAGCCATCGGTGTCTGACAGAGTCTGTGGGTGTCAGAGAGCTGCAGTTGGGGTGGCACAGTTAGGGGTAGCTTTCTGCTGACAGGTCACACTGCTTCGTATTCTCCACTGAGGAAGAGGGGTGAGGGGTGCAGTGGCTCAGAGCTATTGCAACTATAGGACTGACTTTGAAGGGCTTATCTCTAAACATTGGATAGACAAAAAGCAAACAGTCTGAGATACTGGTAAAAAAGGAAGAATTCTCTAAGTAAAGCCCTCTGCTCCCTCAAATCAGCATAGCTGTGAGTGCTCAAAAAGCTGTGTGGTTTATTACACTAAGCGGCCAGACTAAACACTGTTCTTGTTTTAGATAAATGTCTTTAAAATCTGTAATACAAGTTCTTGCCCCTTTAAATAATCTCCTTTATGAGAACATGCAAGGACTACCAGCATTGAGATGCACAGGCACTAAGGGCACAGGACCAGCTCTGCTCCAAACTGCCCCACCATGGCCAGAGTGGTAAGGGGTCTCATGGTGGACTCCTGTTCCTGTGTGCCCTCCTCCCCAGCTGAAAGCAGTCATCATTTCAGGTACCTGCTGTTCCCAATCAACAGGGGACGTGACTCCTCCCACAGCCATACTCAGCACCCTGTGAAGCAAGTACAGTCTCAGACTGTAAGAGTCTGTCCTGGAAGGACAGTAGGGAAGCACTGTGTGCAGGATCTGTACCTACCTCTGTGGCATCTCAATGCTTGGAGAGCAGAGACAAGCTGAGCACCAAATGGGGTAGAGGTGCTATACAGAAAATAGCTCACCCTTCAAAGATGAGTCGGTGAGCCAGAAATGGATGTGGAAACTGCCTTTGTAAGCCCATCATCCAGCATCTTAAAGCCAAGCTGTTTATAGCTAAATCTATAGTGAACAGACTTGTAAATGGACACAAGCATTCCAGGAGAAATAATGACTGCATTATCCACACAAAGCTCTGAATTGTTCCTCCAACTTCCCATACCCTACACAGGAGTCACTCTGGGATCCTACCCTGCGTGGCTACCAGACAAAGGCCAGTCTGGGATGTTTTGGACACAAAGCTCTATTGAGAGCATTCAAGACTGAGGCCCAAACAAAGGCGCTGGGGAAACAATCACTTTTGCTGCTGAGAATTCCTACAGTGATGAGGAACAGTGCACCCAAGTGCCTCAGCACACTCCGGAAGCGCCAGGGTCCACTGTTTATATGCAAACTTGGTGACAGGGCTGTGTGACCCATTATTCATCCATGTGATCACTGTCATCTGCAGGATATATTAAGTCAGAAGCTGTTTGTGATCCTCGCTCATCTCTCTCATTTCCACATTTGGAGTCAGATAACAAACCTCAAATGGCCAAATCTGAAACAGACCTCACCTTCCCGATGGTGCAGTCTATGTTCAGTCAGGCCCCATATTTGCAGATATTCCCTCATCTAAAACTTGCCCTACAATGTTCCAACCCATTCCCCTTGATATGAACAGCTGTGGAAGGTAGGAAAGTCTAAGGGCGAAGGTAGTAGTCAGTAGGAATATAGTGAAGGCACCATGGTTTTGTCAGCAATTCCTTAGAGAGCTGCTGTGGCTCTCTAAACCTGACAGTGCTGACCTTGCCTTTTCTTACCTTGCAGATTTAAATTTTTCTCAGTAAAACTCTCAACTAGTGGACATGGTGGTTCAGACCTATAACCCTAGTACTTGGGAGGTTGAGGCAGGAGGATTGCCACAAATTTGAGGGCTAGCTTGGTCTACCTAGCAACTTCTAGACCAGCCAGGGCTACATAGTAAGACCTTGTCTCAAAAAATAACAAAAACCAAAAACTTCTTGGCTGATAATATTCACACTAATCCCTGCTGAGGAAGGTGGGAACTGCTTCACAGGCCACAACATAGCCTGAAGATTACATATCAGGACTTGCAAGAGAAGGGTTGAACAACTGTGTGGCTTTTCTAGACTCACGGACAATTGCAAAAATGTGAATCTTGCCAACAACCTCAGTCTTTGGAAGTGGGTGAGTCTCTGACGAGGACATAGCCAAACCAATACCTAGACTGTGGGTGAACTGGTAAGCCCCTAAAATAGAGAATCCAGTCCAGTGTGTCCAGACTTCTGACTTTCAGAGACTGTGAAGTAATAAATGTGTACTGTTAAAAAAAAAATCAGTGTGAAGTCTTTAATTTCTCAAGTGTCTCTTTAGCCGTCAACCAACTGGCAGACTCTCAATGGGGAGGAGACAGAAATTCAGGACTGGTCCACACCATCTGGAGTCCTACTCTTTCTCTGCAACCCATGCCATGCCTCACTTGTCCTTCAGTCCACAATGAGCGACAGGAAGCCAGGCTGATGGTGGCTGCCCAGAGGGGGCCATGTGGCTCTGAAGGGCAAGCCTGTACTCCCACCAGGAAAATCTCTGAGGCCTTTCCTAAGTGTGAGCTAGCTAATAAATTCTCCATACCACCATCTGCTTTGTTAGGAAATAACTTAGAAGCATTTGGAAACAAATCTGTGCAAGAGAAGTAGAAATCACATACATCACGTACACATACAATAAAGCCAGGAAACACTCATTAAACACTAAAAATGATTCATAATATGAAATCTTAGACTTCTCATACCAATTCAGTCATATGAAAAATTTCAAAGCAGCAGTATCTTCATTAACCTGAATTTTAGTCTTTCTTCCCACTACGTTAGGCAGTCCCCTATACAGCCCCCAATGGAAACAGACATTAGAATGCATTCAATATTTTAGGTGGGGCCACGAGGCTTGAGTTCTACCTTTGTTATACTAGGCATAGCAGGCCTAAGTTTTCCCTGCTGAGCCACCTTTGACTCCTTTGACATGGGGCTGCAGCCGAGCTCCCTTGGCAAGTAGCATAGGAAGACCAGGTGGGTCAGGACATGTACAGACTAGAATGCCTTGCTTAGGTATTTCCATTGGATGTTCCTCAAGTAAATGCATTCTAATTGCTGGTCTAATTCAAAATGAGGAAATTTTATTACTTCCAAGGGAAATTTTACTGCTCATTTGGAAAGTTTAAAGAGCTGTAAACTTCAAATACCTTGTAACAAAATGAAAATAGGACTACAAGCATCACGAGTCATTGTTAAAACAGTCAGGCCACAGTGGGACAGAAGCATCAGGCATGCTGCCCTGACTACAAGCAGTGGAAGCATAATTACCTGTTTCTCCCCACAATGTGTCGGTGCCATTGACTTCGATTTCATGTTCCTCTTCCATTCCCAGCAAGCACTGGACTACCTGTCAGACGTGGCAAGGGGACTTAATGAGTTCTCATAGCAATAGGTGCTTATTATAGCCCATATATCAAAGGAGAGAGTGTTGTTTTTTAACCATTATCTCATGCTGCACAAGGAAAAGAAATATAATAAAAACCATTTCCAAGCATAATTCGTATGCTTTTCACACTTTCACTTGGAGAAGAATCTAAAAAAAAAAAAAAAAAAAAAAATCTCAGTGAATTTCAGCAAAACTGTTAAGGATTACTAGGAACCGAAAAAAAAAAAAAAAAAAAAAAAAAAACAACAATCTCAGTGAATTTCAGCAACACTGTTCAGGATTACTAGGTACTCAGAATTCGAATGAATTCCAACATGACCCAAATATGCCAACCTAATCAACAAAGGACCCAGAGGATCACTTAAAGTACAGCTTCTGTGTAAATCACCAGAAGGTGGTGAGTCCAGTCTTCACAAGGAATGACAACAAGGTGATATATACTTTTACAACAACCCCCCCAAAATTTCTTTAAGTATTGTCCAAATGATTTTTCTACTGACAGCATTGTTCTTTTTCCCTTCTGGGCATCTTCTGTGAAAGGGTGGAGCAGGTTACATGTTAGAGGCAAGAAAGTTCACTCTCAGAGAGATGAAGTATCTGTGCCTGGACCAGAGCCAGTATCACCCTGAGTGAGCAGTGGTAAGTCACAGAAGAATACAGGAAAGCCATTTTCTAGGCTCCCAATTCATACCATTTGGGGTAGGCTTACCAGGCCAAGTCCTAATCCCTGGAATCTGCGAGTGCTCCTTAAATGGCAAGAAGAAATTCTAGGCCTTGAAATGTAGTGATTATCCTGAACTGGAAGGGTATACAGTTTATCTGCCACAGACCTGGTCTAACCAAGGCAGTCCTAAGAGGAGGACAGGAGGAATCTGGGTCAGAGCAAGGAGGTGGCGGGAGGGCAGAAGCCATAGTGAGGTGTACTCTAAAGACGGAGTGAGCAACCATGCCCTAAGGAATACAGTAGCTTCTAGAAGCTGGAAAGGTTAGGAAAGGCTCTCTCTTGGAACTTCCAGAAGGAAGTCTGGCCTCTTCTCACCTTAATTTTAGACTTCTGACCTCCAGTGCACTAAGATTACATGCATGTTAGGTTTTTTTAGCCACTGAACCTATGGCCATTTGCTCTACTAGCATTAGGAAACTAACACTCCTCAGGTATTTTGGTTAATAATCTTACTTTCTTGCATGAAACGGTTACTGGCTGTGCTGAGGTGTTTTTTCTCAGCGTTACTGCAGGCCAGTTCCTGAGGGGTGAACATAAGTTGAAAAGAGGCCACTGTCTGCTCATGGTGCTCCCAGGCTTCCCGTTGATGATTTTTTTTTTTTTTCACATGCTTCAGCCACTTATTTAGACAACGGTTGAAGGAGGGGACAGAGCATGGTGGCATGGTGCCTCCCAGCACTTGGGAGGTGGAGGCAGGAAGATCCAGAGTTAGAATTTAGGCTATTTGAGATCTTGACTGAAAAAAAACAGGACAAATAAGATAAAATAAAGTAGGAAAACACCTACATTTTCAGATGTGTATATATAATGCGTGTATTTATGCATTTGTGTTTTTAATGACAAATATTAACCATCCAGCAATGTGTGCTTGTGTGTGCATCTGCCCTCGTACATAAGTGCCAAATGTCAGCCAGCCAGCTTGGCACTCAAATTTAAGTCATTTTTGGGGAAAGACTCTTACCAAATACTAGCACCTCTAATTGCCTGAAGACAATAGAGAGTGAGAAATACACTGCAGAGCGTGAGCAAAATGTTATTAGATTCACAGACAAAGCAAAGAAACAGGCCAGGCGATGACAATTAAATCTTCAAACTGAGAACTACCGACATCTACCAGAAATAAATGCTCTATTTAAGTGTGGCATGAAGTTTTTGCTCAGTGTAGGAATTGCAAATGACAAGCACTCTCACATGCTCTCAAAGCCTTCAAATTCTATTTTTAAAAATCCTTCAAATACTCAAGAATGATTTTAGTACTAGGATTCCATGTGATTATTTTTAAGAAACTATAAAGACAAAAGAATGAAACAAGGTGGGGGTAAGACAGCGAGAGGGTAAAAGTGGAACACGGAAAAGGAGAGGAAGAGAGGAGAGCGAGCCCCTCTCAAGCAGACAGCGCTAACCTCCCCAGCATCACATGCACATGACACACTGGGCCTCATGGCACAGCAAGGATGTGGGATTAACAGAAACCCCTTAGTGTAGTCAAGGCCAATGACTAGTTTTGAAGTCTTCATTTCCTTTTGTTGCTTCCTTTTGTGGGAAAATGGTACCTGACTAAAAGAAGGGATGTGTTGGGTTTCCATCTCCCAGGCAGGAACCTCTCAGTCCCACTCACCAAGCTGTGGCCCATGCTGGCAGCTGCTGTCAGTGACTGCTGCAGGGCTTGGCTCTTTCTCAGCATGCCAGGCTGGGGAGGACCTGCTGACCACTCACAGCTCAGCAGGTACTGCAGAATGTCACTGTGGCCCCGCAGCGCGCTGTGGACGAGTGCACACTGGCCCTTCTTATCCAAGTGGTCTACCTGGGGAGCAGGAGCAAGGCAAAGGCACAGGTGAGCATCTCTCTACTCTGAGCCCACCGGTGTCCCAAAAGGCCATGTGCAAGCCCACGCTGCCACAAATGGATGGGGTTTCTATTTCAACTTTTTCTGGACAGCACTGAACCTCTGACTTCCTTTGCTCAAATGAGAAAACTAATCCAAGCCTTCGGCTCAATGTGCAGCACTATTACTCACAAGACGACACTCAAGTGTCTCTCAGAAAACTACACAGAGCTCCAAGTTCTCTTGGGAATATGTGTGAGGACACAGACCAAAACCTCAGAAAAAACTCTGTTTCCAAAAGGGGTACTTGGAGAGAGCATTTTCAGGCTTCTATGAGAAGCTGGGAGGGGCTGGGAGTAGAAGAGCAGTGTTTGGTTTCTGAGCCTAGGAGTCAAAGGAGGAGGAGAGGATCTAGAGAATGCAGGGCTGAATATAGAGGGTCAGAAAGGAGGGCAGGCAGTTAGTGACATGGGACATATTGGCTCATAAATGAAAGCCACAAGGCTGAGGGAGCCAGCTAGTCAGAAAGTGGGAGTGGGTGAGCAATGCACACTTCCTAAAAGCCCAAAGATGGCAAGTGCCCCAACATGCCCTGTCTAAACCTGAGGAGTCCTGGGGCTGAAGGGCCTAGGACCCAGTTTATGAACTTAGGAGCATGTTGTCTGATCACTTGGGGACCCTGCAAGAGCCACCAACATGACAGCTTCTTTCTGCAGAGCTTTCACATGTGATGGAAGAGGACCTGCTGGCCTTAGAATAAAGTTACGAGACAGCTAGGCTCCAGAAATGGAGGCACGTGATACATGACAGTAAGGTAGACAACATAAGCACTGGTCGTGTCATTCAGATGTCCCAAATGATGCATTTTCAAGGGGAAAAAAAATACTCCCATAGTTACTAGAAGCCTAACTTTTGTTTTGTTTTTTGTTGAACTCTAAATAAACCCATTAATTAAACAATTACAAATTACAAATGGTATCCACTGTTATTCAAAAGGTATGCTTGCCAATGAAATGCATCCACGGTTAGGATAAGCCTAACCAGAGTTTAACTTGGCTTCCATTCGACTTCATCTATGAACCCTGTAGTTGGACAGTAAGGTGTCAAGTAGCACACAGCTACATCATGGCAATGGCAGTAGGCTGCTTGAAGGCTCACACCACAGTGACATGGGAACAGGGCCTGGGATTCCCACTGGGCAGATGAGAAGCTCTGGCCTTAAAGGCTCAGTATGCTGCCCAATGTTCTAGCTGGCAAAGGGAACAATGATTTCAGGCAGTCCAGTTCCTGCAGCTCAAGCACGTGGTTTCTAAGATCACAGAATTCATGGTATTGTTTTAAAAGTGGCATTAAATAAAATGGGATAAGAAAAGGAGGTGGGTAAACACTTAAAACCTTTCAAACAGACATGGCTAGATGGCACTTGCAGGTAAAGGCACTTGCTGTTGAGCCTGATGACCCAAGTTTGATCTCTGGAACCCACATGATGGAAAGTGAAAACTGACTCTTTTAGATTGTTCTCTGACTGCTATGTGTGCTATGGCATAAATGCATATGCATGTACACAACACATACCGCACACACACACACACACACATTAGATGATATAGATGATAAATAATAGATAGATGATATAGATAGATGATAGATCGATAGATAGATAGATTGCCAGATGTTGTAGCAGGGAGATTCCTGGCCACTAGCCACATCAGTAGACTCTTCCTGAATTTATTCTAGACTCTAACATGGCACCACAATTGTTTGATTTTTTTAAGTTTGTTTTCTACATTCTATCTATCTATCTATCTATCTATCTATCTATCTATCTATCTATCTATCTATCATCTATCATCTATCGCTACCTCTCTCCTGAGGCTCCCACCAAGAAGGACCACCCTCAATATTGATGCTGCAGTTTCTGAACTCACTGAAATCTGACAAAGCTGAGACCCATGGAGCCCAGGGAACAATAATTTCAACAAACACATGAAGACATTTCCCATCCCCTCAGACACACTGGCTGTCATCCCCATGGCAAGGACTGCTGCTTACCCTTGCCCCCTTCTTGGTCAGCAGACACACTAACTTCATGTGGCCAGCAGCTGCTGCGTAGCAGAGTGCAGTCATGCCATTTTCTGACATCCCATCCAGGCAGGCGCCAAATTCCAGAAGTAGAGTGACCACTTCCTCATGGCCAAGGTGAGACTGGACGCATAGGATGGGGGCATTATTTAACACTTCCGTCCTGTAGTTGACATTGGCCCCTCCCAAAATCAGGAGACGGCTCACCTGTTGGGCAATGTCCCCCAATAAGATTAATTTTTCATATACATGTTAGTCTCAACAACATTTGGGGAGAAGGGCAATATCTTCAATATTTTGTTTTTAATCTAATAGATCTCAAATTTGAGATACATTAGCATCAAGTGGGAAACCTATGAATACTGTAAATCCTTATAGGTGGGAACCTAAAATAGTGCAGCCACAATGGTAACTGAAGGATCTTCAAAACAATGAAAAGTAAAGCTATAATCTAGCAATTCCAAGTTCGAAGAAATATGTGCATACCCAAGTTCACTGCAACATCACTCACAAAGGCTGAAACATGGAAACAAGCCCAGGTTCCATCAGCTAATAGGTGAATAAAGAAATATATATACACAGGGGCTGGAGAGATAGAAGACTCAGCAGTTAAGAGCACTGGCTACTCTCGCACAGTTCCTAAGTTTGGTTCCTAGCACCCACATGGTGGCTAACAATCATCCAGAATTCCAGTTCCTGGGGATCCAATGCCCTCTTTTGGCCTCTGTGGGCATTATACACATGTATGCACACCAAACATTTATATAGATTAAATAAACAAAAACATAAATGAATAAAATTGAAAAAAAAGAAATATACGTGCCAAGAGTGGAAAAATTCAGCCTCAGAAAGAAATTTAATTATGGTGGTGCTACAGCAGAGATTAGTATAAAACATATGTTAAATGTGCCAGATGCAAAAGGACAGAGTGTATGATGCCACTTGGGAGGTCCGCAAAGTAATCAAATGCACAGACAGAAAGCACAATGGTAGTTTCCAGGCCATGGACAGAGAGGAAATAAGAGTTGTTTAATGGACACCAAGTCTTGCAAGATGAAAAATTTTAGAGATTAATAACATTAAATGTGAATGTAGTTTAATGACCTAAACTTAAAAGTGGTTAATATGGTAAATTTTCTATTCAGTATTTTTAATTATCACAATTGAAAATAACTTTTTTGCAGCACCCCGTCCCTCATTTGCTAGTTTGGGTGGTACATTTTCAATGATTTCTAGCTAATACTGATGTTACTGGTTTAGGAGCTACACTTTGAGAAAAAAAATCACTAAATTAAAGACCAAAAATGCATCATTCTAGCAATGAAATAATCAAGGATTTAACAATGGAAATGAGATAAAGCCAAAAGAAGACACAGTCTCTTTCCTTGATGAAGATGTGTTCCTACAAGAAATGTCAGACAGCACAGATATGATCTGTGGCCTCAGGACCATCAGAACTGATCACTGCTATTAGGTCATCTGCTGCTCCCACTAACTGTGCTCACCATCCAGTGAATGCTTGGCTATCAGGGAAAGCTTTTCATGTACAGATGCTAAAACAAAATCACTGAGCATATGCAAATTTTTAGCTATACTAATCTCCAAATCTCCAGATCACAAGAAAAAAAAAATGACACCACTTTCATGCCTATTAGGATACCCCATGCATTTCTTCAATCAGTCCCCCTCAACAGCTCCAACCTGCATCCATTACGCCCCTTCCAACTCCTGGCAGGTCCTCAGGGATGCCTAGTAGGTGTGAAAACCTCTGAAACCATGTCATCTATTTGACTAGAGACAAACGGGTATCATTAAAAGATATAGAAAGGCAACAAACATATAAATTCTGGGTAGTTTGGCGATATGTCCACTGGAGTAGCTGACAGAATATTTACAAACTGTAGGTGTGGGAGATTAATACTACCAGAGGGGAAACCACAGCTTATGATGGCATCTCAACATGTTAGGCCCCAAAGTGTGAAACGCTAGGTATCTTGGCTGCTGTGAAGCTTGAACTCCAAAGGCTAGGGGCCTCCAGCTTCTTCTCTCACCTTCTCTCCAGGGTTATCCCCTCACTGCAGGTCCCATGGCTCTAACAGCATGAAACAGGCCCTGTCATCAAAGTCTCTGATCTTTCAGTTCTCTCTGTCTAGAATGTTGGCTCCAGGGACACAGATAGCAAAGAAGTATTCCCTACAGGTTTCTACTCCAACAACAGAACACCAAAGAGAAGTCTGTATGCCACCAGGATAGCCTCACCCTACCCATGCATACTCCACACAGGTACAGACTCCAAGTCCTCTCCATCCCTCATCATATTATTCTATTCCTAGCTCATTTCAGCAGACAGTGAGTATAAGACAAAACTTCACAAAGAAAAGAAGCATGAGGAAGTCCCCAACCCCAAGACAGGGATGGCCCACACATCGAGTCTGTCACATCACTGGAACCAATACTTATCCACAAGGAAGGACAGGCCGCACACACATGATGAGGAGGCTCTGCCCAGTCACCTGACCACCATCATGTGGCCAGACCCAGGTCAGCACCAATCTAGTCTCCCACTGTCAACCAGCACTTGAACAGATGGAAAGGCAGCGAACACAGAGGACAAGGACTCAGAAATATGAGACTCTGGCAAACAAGCTAACTGATCCCTACTACACAGCAATACAGATTCAACACTGTACAAAATACCAGCTGATATTTTAAAGGTATTTTAAAACTGTAAGTCTAAATCAAAACAATTTTTAAAAAAAAATCCCTTTCAATAGTTACTATTAGTATGCAAAGAACAAGATTATGCTGAAGAAATACTTGGGGAGATTTTATTAAGGCCTAGGAAATGTTTGGAGCAAGACATACAAACAAAAATAGACTACTGAGGACCAGCATAGGACTAGCAGGAATCGTTTGTAAATTCCCTGGATGATTTTGCCAACCAGTTACCATTTCCCTCCCCATCAGTCCCATCTCTGAGATGCATAAGCCCAAGAGAAAAGATGATGGATTAAGCGGTTAAGTGACTCTTTAGTGACTCTTAGGAAATTCCTCAGTTTTTCAGTGCTTCAGGTACCCTCTAGAAAGTGAGCATCATATCATGTCACCCCATTCTGCTCAGCAGGCTCTCTTTGCAAAGAATGTTGGGAGAGGTGCACTCAGCACTACGGTACACATCTAACATAACTTCTGGAAGGTATGTGCTTAGGGGTGGAGGTGTCTAATCCAGTCACACTTCATCTGCTTTGGAGAAGCACATATCCTTTGTTGATGCATTGTTGTACTTTTACCATTTAAAATTCCCACTGAAGCCACTGGGAGCTCGAAAGTTTCCAGTGACTGGGCCCTGTGCACTGGAGAGTCTGACTTAACTGGGACTGAGGCTTTGGCACCACAGCTCCCAAGTGAATCACTTGGCAGTCAGGGCTGTAAACACACCAGGTGACAAATGCACCAGCAGACATGAATGGGCAGGCTGAGTATCAGGTATGTTTCCAGCTATAGGATTTGGGGAATACCAACTGCCCCAAACCTCAGCTTCCTCAGCTGAAAAACGGATAAAAATAGTTTTACTTCACTATGTTGTTGTAAAGATTAAACCACCACATACCCCACCACACACACACACACACACACATACCACATTCGGCATTCCAAAAGCACTAAATCACTATCTGTATCTATTGTTACCATCACCCTTTTGTGAGGTCTTCAGAGTGAGGTTCCTGGAGACCTGATGTCTGTCTCCCACCCATAAGGCCTTGTGTGCACCCCTGGGCTACTTGTAGCACAGAGCAGCAAGGTGGAGGGCCTCCCATGGTTCATAGCCCCCAACAACTCATCTAGAAGTTCCCAGGTACCTGTAGCCCTAGTGCCACCAGTTTCCAGAGCCAGAGCTGAGGAGAAACAATTCACCTGGGCATGTAAGTCATGCCAGGTTCTTTCCCAGGAGGCTTCACAGGGAGCTTTCTGACTGCTGGGAGACAGTGCTTTCATTGTCTCCATTTTGTAGGAGAGAAGAGTGTGCAGGGCAAGGGGAGCTCAGGACACAAAGCTAATTGCTGCTATTGGGGCAGCAGGGGCAGAGCAGGTCTTCAGCTGAGATTGCGGAGTCTAACAGGAAGGGGCTGAAATGATCCATTCTATGTATTCTTTCCCAACTGCAGGAGATTTTTTTCAAAGTCTTCACCACAGAAGCTCTCCTTGGCTAGCACCTGGAAGTGGCAATACTGCCTACTAACTTATGGATTTAATAACTGCATGAAAACACAGAAGGGTAGCAGGGCATCCCCGAGGACAAGACTGAGGACAAGGAGCTGGCCAGCTCAGCTGTGAAGCATGAGTCAAATTTCTTGGCTAAGTACTCTGGAGCCTTACCAAAGAAGGGCCCTTTAAAAATGTGCCCTGCCTAATTGTGGTGCAGAGTTTGACTGACTCCCCTGAGTCCAGCCAAGGGAAGTCAGGCCAAGTCCCCACCTCACCCCTGTTCTTTCTTCTCTGCCCTCAGCTGAGAAAGCCTCAAACACTACCAAGTCTGCAGTTTAGGGCTGGCACCAGCCCTAGGAGAACATTTGAGTAAAACAACCAACTGGGCAAGGACCCCAGCAGGGCACGCAGGTGCAGGCTGGCATGACCCTTGCCCAGTGACTGAAGGATATGACACTAGAAATCAACAGCATGCTTCTGAAATTACCAAGCACTCATACCAGAGCAAGTCACTTTAATTTGCTAAAGCGGCAAACTACAATTATTTTCAAAATGACATTCACTCCTGTATGACAACATTTAATACTCTCTAAAAAAAGTTCCTTAATTGGATGCATAATTTTAAATTACTATAATTTGTTCAATATTCGTGAAAATCTTTTTCTCTCTCTTGAAAGACTTAAAAAGACAAAACAGAAGGATAATAGAAGGCCTTGAGAATCTATAGCAAGTTGTGTGGAGATAGGTAATACCAGACTTTTATAAATCAAAGTAAAAGTGAACAACTCAAAATTGCAGGGATGATAAAGGGGAAGATGCATAAACCTCGAGAGCAAAGTTCCTTACACTATCATGTTGTGCCTTGAAAACTTGAGCTCAGTAGAATATGGCATTTCCCATTTTCATGTCCACATTTATTGGCCTAAGTAAATAACGTCTATGTCCATGAATTCATTTAAGTAGTGAAAACAGATATTACCAATGTACTACTACTCTTTTTCTTTGTTATATGGAATTTATAAATTCTGTGAAGAAGCCAAAAAATATACTGTGAGCTAGTCAAAAAGATGAACAACGTTATAGTAACCTAAACTTGAATTTTTATAAAATTGAAGTAAAAAAAATCTCAGTCCAGCTTTGTTGTTATGTGACATCTAAACTTAGAGCCATCTGCATTTCTTTCAGAGGAACTCCATCTGGAAAGCAAGTGTTACCTGGGATGAGAGACAGCAGTTTGGAACTGGTTCTCCTGCATTACAAAAATGGCTCCCTGTCCACCCACTGATGAAACCCTACACGCACTGAGAGTTATGAGCTGGAGGTGAGAATATGCGAAGAAGCAAGGCAACCACAGGGTCTCCAGGGACACTTTATAGTGGTGCTCTGCACAAAGGTGACCAGAAAAGGAGGCCAGTCAAAGCTGAAGCCCAACAGCCTCTCCACATGTCAGCCGCTGATTCTGATAGGAGTGGAGGTCACTTGAACGAAGTGGCATTTTTACCTTTGTAAACCTATCTCTGTTCACTCAGGGGCAGCAAGGCCCTACAGTGGACAAGGCTGTGGGTCATCCACCCAGACTGCTGAGTCCTTCCTGACACACATGATCCTCAGGCAGTTTTGTGATACCTTCAACTCTCAAACTCACCAAGGAGAGGAAGGAGGGAGAGATAGAGCACCTCTAAGCAGACACTGCTTTAAGTTCCACAAGACCACAGTGCAGAACCATGGCCAGGGTAAGTAGGCTGAGTGTGAGGTAGATGGATGGCAGGGAGAAGAAGCACTAACGGGCCCAGGAGTGGTCCCCATGTTTCCATCTCTGGTATATGTGGTCCTTTTCCATAACTGGTGAAGTAGATATCCGATGCCTGAAAACAGAGGCCTTGCCTCATCTTTACTGATGACCATGTAGGATCTCCCCTGTGTTACTGTGTGGGAGCAGGTACAATTATTCCACAGAAGAGACTTAGGAGGAAGACTCAGTCCACAGGGAAAGAGCCCTGTTTTCTGCACTAAGCATGCCATAAGAGGCCTGGACACTTTTCTTTGGCCTTAACCAGGTATCTGGCTGTGTGGGTTTGCAATTCGCAGATTATGTTATAGTCTGCAAATGGGGACAGAAAACCTATCTGCACAAGCAGAGAAAGAGTACCATGATAGGAAGTCACTGACCACAGCAGAGAAGTGCTTGGCTCAGCAGGTGACCAACCTAACACTCTTTCCACTGCCAGCAGTGCATGTTTCCTTGAACCTGCAGTTAGTTTTTCTTTGTATCCATTGTTCTGTGTCATTCATCAGTGATTAATTACTTATGAACCATGAAGAGATGAGTTGCTATAGTAACCCAAGACACTTTTAAAATCTAGTATCCCTGCGAATCCCTCTCTGACCTTTGGTTTCCTTTGTGAACTGCTTCTTCATCACCTCCTCAATAAAATGGTCACTATGGGCTAACAGCAGCTCCAGCTACCCCTATCGTCCTGCAGGAGCAAAACCTAAACTTCTAGGGGAAAATGTGTAATTTTCATAACAGAATGGAGCTCCTCTGCTCCTCTTGCACCATCCAGATCCCAGGTTATCAGGACTGATAAAGGAGGACTAGGCTAAGGCCAGGGTCAGGCTCCCTGTACAGAGGGCTGCTCACCTTCACATTGGGAGTATAGAGATTCCTGAGAGAGGCCAGGGCAGCAGACAGCCCTTCTGTGCTGTAACCAATCCACAAGGCCTGAAGATGGCTTGAGGAGATTCCAGTCTTCTTACTGAGGCCCTGGAAACAACCAAAGACAGATGCCCGTAAGTGTCTCCTTCCCAACTGGGCATCAGTTTGAAAGTGAGTCTGTACCACAGTGCCGATATATGCTGAACAAAGTGACTTTCAAAATGCCTGGGCCTGTGAGCCATAACTGAGGGTAGGGAAACCAGCTGCTTTGGCCCTATTCACATCTGAGAGACAAAAAAGGAGATTCTAATTGTAAAAGGAAATCAGAGGAATCATAAATTACAGAATTAGATTGCCATCTATAACCCCCAATGAATGAGTCCAGACAGTGATCAGCAGCATTACAAAATAAGCAAGCTCAGTGCTATACCTCCTAGTGTAAGAAACTCAATACTGTAATCTCAGCACCTTACAAGTGGAAAAAAACTTAAGCCGCACTTGACAAAGGCTCTAGACTTAAAGACAGGTCCTAGGGGAAAGAGAAGGACATCAGACTTTACCTTGAGAAAAAAGCATGGTCAGAAAACCCAGGTAGTACGAAATTACACATGCCAAGAAACTCAGGCTCTCTGACAAATAAATGACACAATAGGGAATGAATAAAGTGCTCACAGAGGGCTTCTGAGATGGCTCACAAGCTGTCTAAAACCCTCCACAACACAGAGTCGGTGCAAACCTCACCTTGAAAATGTGTGCCTTCAGGATATGGTGGCCCAGCTCCATGGTCTGCTGGCGGTTCAGCTTGCCTTCCTGTCGAGAGAACGTGAATGCCAGCAGAGCATGTCCATTCCTAGGGCAAGAAATACAAAGCCTCATCACAAAAGACCCCAATCCACCACACCACAGATGAGTACTTCATAATTCTGCCCCTGAACTCTCTTCTGGTGGCTTTAGTAGACCCACGTGGAACAGGCAGACTGCTGACTCTTTAAAAAGATAGTAATTGCTGCTTATTCTGCAAGTCATTTTAAGTTCTTTTTCTCCATCCCCCCAACTCTGTAGAGTAACCCTAACCCAGGCCTGAGTGCTTTGTTGCCTGTATCTTTAGAACCACCACTGTCTGTTCATCATCACTCTGGGTTGTTGGTTTACACCTGTCACAAAAATGTAAACTCCATGAAACACAGAGCCCCAACTATGTCACAGCCATGAACACAATGCTGAACAAAGTGTCTAATATCAAGTAAATACAAGAACATGTCTGATGATGGGCAGACAAAAGGGTGGAGAAAGTCTTCGCTGGCTACTCATATACAAAGAGCTCCAAGAACTTAACACCAGAAGAACAAGAAATCTAACCACAAATGTGCAGAAGACCTTCTCAAAAGAAATATAACTAGCCAGTAACAATAAGAATACTCAACATTTTTAGTCACCAGGGAAATTCAAACAAAAACTACACCAAGTTTTTATCTAACCTCAGTCAGAAGAGCTAATATCAAACAAAGAGGGCTAAGGATGGGCCCAGTTAGTAGAGTGCTTGCCTAGCATTCATGAAGTCCTGGGTTCAATCCCCAGTACCACATAAACTGGGTGTGGTGGCACATGCTTATAATCCTGGCACTTTGGTGGTATAGGAGGATTAGAAGTTCAAGGACATTTCTGCTATACAGTGAGTTCAAGGCCTGCCAACCTGGGATACTAAAGACCCTGTCTCAAATAAAATAAAAGAATAAATGTTATATATTGTTGGCAGGAATGTAAATTGTATAATTCACTGTAGGCAGAAGTATGGGGGTTCAAAAAACTCACTCCTGCATATATACCTTTAGGAATCAAAGTCAGCATATGATAGAGATACCTGTACATATGTTTATCACAGTGCTATTGGGCTTAGCCTAAATGAAGTGCTAGTTAATTTATGAAGAAACATTGCATATAAATATATACAAAGGAGTATAATTCAACCACAAAGAAGAATGAAATCATGTCACTTGCAGGAAAATGGATGGAACTAGAGATCATGTTAAGTGAAATAAGCCTGACTCAGAAAGACAAGTATCATATGTTTTCTATTATATGTGGCATCTAGGGGAAAAAACAGATGGCTTGCGTGCTGGTTAGCTTTTGTCAGCTTGGCACAAACTAGTCACCTAAGAAGAAAGAACCTTAATTGGGGAATTGCTTCTATCAGTCTGGCCTGTACGCATGTCTGTGAGGCACTTTCTTAATTTCATTGATATAGGAGGGCCCAGCCCACTGTGGCTGTGCTATCACTAGGCAGGTGGGCCTAGGCTGTGTAAGAGCAGCAGCTGAGCACAGCCAGAGGAGCAAGTCAAAAAGCAGTGTTTCTCTGTGGTCTCTGCTTCAGTTCCTACACCCCTGCCCTGGCTCCCCTCAGTGATTGACTGTAACCTGTAAGGTGAAATAAACCCTTTCTTCCACAAGTTGTTTTTGGTCAAAGTATTTTATCATAGCAATATAAAACAAACAAGAACAGTATGAAAGTAGAAAAGGGTCTATAACAAGAGAAGTGGAAAGGGCTAGATGTGATCAACATGTCATATGCATATATATGAAAACAGCACACGGAAGCCTTTATTCTTTATAATTGATTTGTGCTAAAACCAGATAAGCTGCACATCATGGCTGGCCCCTCCGGGTAATAACCACACCTTTCAGCGGCAGTCCAAAGGCCTAAAGGGCTCTCAGCAAAGCACATGGCCTCCTCTCTCTCAAGTCCCATCACTGTGTTCTCTCAAATGACCTGCAGTCCTGAGTTGGATCCCATTCCAAAGCTGGCAGCTCTCAAGCCAGTGCTCTGCTTCAGATGCAGAAACCTCAGAGTCATCTCCTTCACCCACACAATCCCTGAGTCACTGAGTGTACATGAGGAAACAGTCTGAACAGGTTAAGCGACTTGTCCAGGGATTTGAACAGCAGTCTGCCAAACCCAAGAGCCTGGGCTCATGGGAGAATAATGCAGGGTTCTTCCCTTAAGGAGCTCTCTGCAATTGGAGGTGTCACATATAACCATGATGAGATTCAGCCAGAAAAACTGTACAAAGATCAGGCTCAGTGGGAATAAGCAGGAGGCGGCTGTGCCCCGGACACTTAGCTCTGCTTTCTTCCCTCTGTATTTCCTTGTGGACTGTTTCCCTACACTGTCTCAATAAAATTTTCAGCAAGAACCCAACTTCCTGTTACTAAAAGCCAAAGTCCATGCTTCTCAGCTCTTCCACTTCCCATCCCAGATCTTTGGCTCTCTTCTCTGGCCTTCTCTACGACTCAGCAGAAGAGGTCTCCTAAGGATGCAGGATTATCTTCTATGAAAGTCTAATAGCTTCCACTCAATCCCCTTTTGCCCCTTTGGTAGCTTTGGTCTCCTTCCCTGAAATTCTCTACTCCCAGAAGTCCAGCACTCTTTTCCCTCTCCAGGTACAAGCTCCCTCATCAAGTCATACTACACTTTTCCATCAATGACACTGAATCTTCAGCTACCAATTTCTCCAACCTTCAGACAAGGTCTTCCCCCTGGAGAGAAGGTCCTCATAGGCGCAAACTCCTCAAAACCAAAACCAGCTCTGATTTGGAAAGCTTGCACCAGATCTCCTCCCTTTCTGCTCCTCCTAAGGGTATTGCCACTCCTAGCTCCTGGGGCTTAACATCTTGAAGTCACCTTCTGCTGGCTCTTCTCACTCCTCTATGCCATGAGAAAAGCACCAGTCAAACTAGATTTACTATTGCCAGAGCATGGCCTGTGATGCCTCTGACAGCTACTTCTGTCTGCATTAGACTTGTTGTACCTATTAGTATTCTATCCATTTGTTCCTCAAGTTAATGGCAATAGCAGGAGATTGTTCTAGATCACAAGTCCTTATGAAATCTTAATGAGTTGATAAATCCAGGAAATGATCAGTGATTCTAATATCACACAGAAATAAAAAATGGTATATTTCCTTTCAGAAGTGTTCCCCACCACCTATGAAGTATCCTTGCAAAATTAAAATTAAAATATAAAATATATGAGCAAGAACAAAACAGTAGGTATTGGAGTACCTGACTTCAAAACAGACTACAAAGCTCTAGTTATCAAAACAGCATGGTATTGGCATAAAAACACACAGACCGATGGAATACAAGAGAGACTCTAGAAGTAAGTCACAGTCTCATTGCAAACTGATTTTCAACAAACATGAAAATAACATGCATTGAAAAAGAAACGTCTTTTCAGTGAATCAGTGGTGCTACAAACACTGATACCTGCATGCAGAAAAATGAAACTAGACACTTAGCTCTTACCAGATTAAAAAAAAAGTCAACTCAAAAATAAACACTTAGAGGCTGGAGAGATGGCTCAGCAGTTAAGAGTGCTTGCTGTTCTTCCAGAGGACCTGAGCTCTATTCCCAGCACCTGCATTGGGTGGTTTACAACTGCCTGCAACTCTAATTCTAGGAGATCCAATGCCTTCTACTGGCCTCTGTGGGTACTATAGTTATTTGGCATTTATTCACACAGACATACATATATAAATTTTTTTAAAAATTAAAAATCTTTTAAAAAATGAAAAAAAAAAGATAAAGGCTTAAATGTAAGACTAAACACAAGTCAGCTACTAGAGGAAAACATATGAGAAATGTTTCAAGCCATTAGAATATACAAGAACTTCATGGGACAAAAACATCAGAAGCAGAAGCAAGCTAGACAAAGTGGGCTGCAGCTAATGAGAAATCTTCTGTGTGATAAAGCAAGCAGTGCAGACAGGGATGGCCCACAGAATGGGGGATGCATGTGCAAACCCACCTCTCACAAGGGGTGACCAGTCTCATGTTCTGGGGACTGCAATTGCTGGTCCTGCTGCAACCACCATGCTCTCAGCTCTGTCCTGTGTTGCCCCTACTGTCCAAAATGCAGCAAGGACCAATGATGACTGTAGCCCAGCTACTTCTGCTTCTAACACCAGTGAGAAACCTGGGCCCTGTAAGTCTTCTGATTGTTTTTATGTTTCAACAAACAGAATGACAGCTGATCTTCCTAGAAAATGACCTTTCGCTGGAAGATAACGCAACTTGGCCAGCTGCGTCACAGCATACATTTTGCTAGCTCTTATGATCTGGCTTTAATAATCAACTTACTGCCCCAAACCAGGTTTGAGAAACATTACGACAAACCTTGAGTCCAGTGTCATCTAAGAAAACAACAGCCACATCATTGAACAACACTAAAACTATCAGTGCACATGGGGAAGATGGTGGTTATGTGGCTCCCAGATGCTCACCTAACTCTTCATTTCTGATGCCCACTCTAGTCCTAAGGGGACTATCTAGCAGCTTACCAGCCCCATTACTAGAGTAAGGGGCCATTGTGATTCAGAGCACAGCTGCTCAAGAAAGCAAAGATACAAGCTAGACAGAAAGGCTTGAGAGCATCGTTATCTGAAGGTATTCAGGCCCTCCAATTCTTGATGTCTCACCCTATTTCAAACTAGGTAATGGTTAGCAGGCAGGCTGGCAGACATATGGTTCAAGTTCTGCAAGAACAGCATCCTGCCCTGGCCTAGTCTGAAACACTTAGCTGAACCACAGATCCAAAAGGAGGCAGCCAGGTTGGATTACTGGGTTTTCCTCTGTCCCCCCAGTGCTTCCTCCCCAGGACAGGGTGCTATATTGCCAAGAGGTGGTCAGAAGTAGCAGGGCTAAGGATCTGAGACAGACCCCAGGCCACAGACAAACCTTCTGTGGAAGCCTGCTATTCCCTGAAGCAGAGACCACGTTCTACCCTACAAGTGACCCTGTTCATGCTGAAGGGAGAGGCGACAGATCTGTCAGAGAACTGGCAGCTAGGAAACGTCATCCAGGAACCACCCAGCTTCTCTTCTATCCAAATATACTGGAAGTCCTGCAGTTCTAGCAATCAAAGCTAGGAAGCTTTTATCGTGAGGTGGGAAAACTTTCTTGCTGTTTCTCCTTCTTGCCCAAAGCATGGAAACCAAAGCAGCAAAGCTGAGTCCAGGTTGCCTTTCCGTTAAAAATCATGCAAATCCCTCAAGGAACAGAGGCCCCTGTGGGCACCGACAGGAAGCATCTCTCATACCTGGGCTCACACAGGAAGGCTGTGCTTTCGCCATCTGCTCTCCACACCAGCCACTCTCTGAAGGATGGGTGGCAGAACATGCGAGTTTTGTCTCGCCTCTTGATGAGGAAACAGGAGAGGGCTTCCATCCTTTGCTGAAAGTCTTCCCAGCCCTGCTCACCTTGAATGTGGCCAGAATTAATTGCCTGAAAAATCTGCTCATCTGTCATGGGGTGGAGGGAAGCAAGGGCCACGTTTAAAATGGGAAGGGCTCTGTCGAAGGCAGACTGGGTCATGAACTTCATGTTGCACTGCAGCAAATAGAGCTCGGACAGAGATACAGGCACCACCTTGTAGCTGGCACTTTTAATGACCAGGTGTCCCTGTTGGAAGAGGTCCAGGGTGAGCTTGAGGTACAGGTAGGACCCCAGGCTCCGCAGCACCAGGTGACTGCTAACTTTGCTGATGAGGGCGGCATCGGCCTTGCCGTTCAGGGAGATGTTGCTAAGGATGTCCTGGCTGCTGTGGATCCTGTGCTGAACATAGGCATGCAGGTCACTGTGAATGTCCTTGTTGTCTGGAAAATCATCTAAAGAGAGCTTGATGAATGGCAGAGCACTGATGATTTCCTGTGAGAAAACAAAAACCCACAGTGTCACTCCATGAGTTTTCTCTTTTACTTGAGAGCATTTTAAACCAGGTTCACTAGTTCTCTTTCAAGAAGGATTTTCATGGATTACAGGGGCTCATTGTTTTGTATTAAAGCATGTAATAGGATAAGGTACAGATAAAAAGCTTATGAGAAAGAAATCCTGAAGCGAGATAGAACTGGTAAAGACTTTTCCAAAGCCCTCATCGAGGACTCAGAGTCAAGCGAGCAGAGGGAGGGGCCCAAGCAGACAGCAGCAACCAGGCCACACCAACAGAGGGGCAGCAAGACCCTGCAAATGAGCCGATACTCATAATCCTTGCACTGTGCAACTGGTTATATAACACGGATAAATACAAACCAACACTGCACATCTAAGAACACAGCTCGACACCGAGATAACAACATCTCTGTGCATTCAGATCTGGGGGCTGTGAGACCCAACCAGGAAATTTGAGACTGCCTACCTGTGTCCCTTGACAGACAGTGGCAGTGAAAACACACTGCCTGCTTCAGTATAGCATGTTCTCATATTTTAAAAAAATTAAGTAAACTTTTCAGTGGAAATATGATATAGGTATACTGGTACATGAAGGATAATTGCATGGTGTCATTAATTTTTGGAGACAGATAGATGTATCTCTGTATCCATCAGTCAGAGACATCACCTGCCACCCCTTTCCTACTGCTCCCTCCTTTCAAAAATAAGCAGTCCTAACGGAGCAGAGGGGAGCTTTTCTCACCCCTTACCATTATTTCTGCAGCATTGAAGGGGAAGTCCTTAATGTAGTAACTGCAGGAAGAAGGCAAAGCACAGCCATTTCCATTTCGAATGGAAGCTAGCCATGCCTCTGGCAAAGTCAGCCAGGAAAGGAACACAAGACCACTGTTACGGGTCCTTCCCTGACTGCCAAATTATGCTCACTGAGGAAAACATGACCGATGATGCATGACTCAAAGGTCCATAAAAACAAACATGTAGTTTAAATTTAGGTCTAATCTCAGGTTAATGAGGAAAAAAATGGGTTTGATCATGAGTATCACAAATTAAAAACAAAACAAAACAAAACAAAAAACTCTGCGAAGAGCCACCATAAACTCACGGAAATAGTGACTGGCAGGAACCAGTTGACTAGCTGGCCAGAAGTCTCAGCCAGCACGATGTATGGTTACGGTAAGGAAGACTGGATGCAGCACAACTCAGTGCTGGTAGGACACTTAGCTGACACCTTAATAATCTTGCCTCAGGGGGTACAAAGGTCAATACTCTTTGGTGATACTCTGGACTAATTTTTCAAAGTCCTGATACAGTTTTCAATTCTGTAATGAAGTGGTTTACAGCATTAAGCTATTAGCATATATCACTGGACATTTTCAGTATGGGGACTTGGAAAGAGAGTTGAGAATTCTTGTTACCTGAAAATTTGCTCTCACAGTCACAATCAACTTCAACCAGGCAGGGAATTTAGAAATAATTTTGGTAATAAATGAAGACAGCGTATCTCCGTAATCAGGTTTATGAAATTCAGCTTCATTTAAGCCATCTATCAAAATAATGTATTCTTCTTCTGGAATTTTCTGCTCTAAAGGATAAAATATTTTTTCAAATTAAGAAATTATACATTTCTATAACATGACATCACTCAGTGCATTTTAATGCACAATTTAAAGTGTTAGCAAAACCTAAAAAGATTTACATATGTTAGAAGACATGTTTTCAAAGAAGCATATTTTCTATTAAATTTATAATGAAAACCAGAGCATAGAGCCAAAAGAAAACCAATTCTTACAAAACAGTTTTCAGAAACATATTGCCTTTACACACATTAGTAGAATCTCAAACATGTATATAATATCATCAGCTCTTCATAAACCACTATCACTAGTGTAGCCTAAAGCAAAAAGAACAGACGCATGTAGAGACTAAACCTGGAAAAGATACCAGGCTCTCCGTTAGAACTCAGCAGACTGACTCCAGGCAACGAAAAACAACCCTTCCGACACCACAACCAAGGGGCTGTCTGGCCCAAGTTACACAGTGGTGAAAATTATGCTTCACAGATGCCCAGGGGTCAGACCAGAGGTAGGGTCCTTCGCACAGCCTAAGACTAGTTTTATATTTACTGGTGCCAGTTTTCTGCCCAGATCTGTTTCAGTCCCTCTTTCTAGCACCTTCTAGCAGAAAATGCTTTGTTGATAGCTAATTTACAGCTCAAAAAAAGAGCAGGGGAGGGGAGGTGGGAAACCTTAATGACCCATAAGTCTACGTTGTAGACTATTGGGGGGGTGTCAGATGGAAACTCCTAGAAATGGTGTTAGATTTAAGCTCTAAAACAAACAAAAACAGACCCCAAAATGCTGGAAAATTCCCAACAATCTACTCATTTCCCTACTACCTAGGAGTGCAAACTACTCAGTCAACAGTCTTCAGTGTGTTAGTCATCTAAATAGCTTATAGTTATGTGGGAGACCAGAATGCACCACCCCTAAATATGAAGAACTGTGAAGGTGAAACCAATTAAGAAGTATATTCAGAGACACTCTCTGCACAGCCACTTAGCCTGACAATGTTCTACCAGGAGGGGCAGACAGGTGTTGGCCTCTGCAGCTGGAGTATCAGGTAAGTCCAGGGATCAAACTTACTACTTGCATCTAGGATTAGTGTCCCTATATATGTATCTTCCCACAGCTTCCTGCCTCTGAAAGCCCAAACTTTTTTTTTCTTTAGTCGTTTCTCTAAAAGTTACTGCTCTTTGTTGAAGATCCTGTAGAAGCCAGAGTTCTTAAAGCCCTGTTCTTAGTTACATTCCACTGAGGTTTCTTCCACATGCATGCAAGACTAAGTATCAAACCTTCAGATGGTAGAAAGTCATATATGGCTTCTTTAGAAATGATTAGTTGTAGATCTCATTCTTATTAGAGACATTTCAGTGGAAACTGTTTCATTGGAAACTATACCACAGAGAGTGTGATGGGATCAGATGTGCACTGACTGTCCAACATCTTCTCTCTGCCACCCCAGCCCTAAGCTGACCACCCTTCTCCGAGGACCACTCGGGCATCCTGTATTAGGAAGGGGCCTGAGGACTGCTGGGAAAGTACCATTTCTCAGGCTTGTGAGGGGCTCCAGAATGCCTCTCTTGAAAGCAGTCACTGGGTCCTGTACACAGGAGCGGAGGCTCAGCATGCTCTGCAGCTGGGGCTCTTTGATTAGAAGGTCTCTGTAGGCAGCCAGCTGGTGTGACCGGCATAGCAAAGCCGCGATGCTGTGTACAAACTCGGGCACCAGGCATGTGTAGGTGTTGTCGGCTTGGCAGTAGTGGTAGGCCACCACCTAAGGGAGAAGCAGAGACAACGGCATCACCCCACCTTCTCCACAGCTCTTTCCATGAGCACAATTCCACCCCTTTGCTGAGATAAAAGACAAAATACTTCTACTCCCTAAGACTGAGTCACTAACTAGCTTAATTGATTCATTTATTCCTTTCTTCATTGGTGTGGTTTACTGTTCTCAGAAGACCATTAATTGCAGCCACAAATCCATCTTGATCAGAACCATGTACTTTGTATTGAATGTAGATTAGTAAAGGTCATCTATAAAACCTAATGCCTAATCTAGTTTAGAGCACTTCCAAGCAAGCCCAATGTTCCTGACCCTACCATCTGCACTGCATATCTGTTCTGTTCTCAAGAGCAACAGCACCTCAAGGGAACCCTCTGCTGAACCAAAACACACAGGATTCTGTGGCAGCTATGAACCCAAGCTTCAAAGCTGCAGCTGCTTCTTTCTCCTGGCAGGAGTAGTTCACACTCTCAGCTCCCTCCCCACACCCACCTTCTTCAAGAGACTGAAGGAGGATAAAGAACTTCAATTCCCAGCTATCTGTTTATCATGTGAGGGGGCATGAGGGAAGAAAGAGGAAGCTGCCAAAGCATGGGAAGGCTGAGAGCTTCCCTTTGTTCAGATGGATCTGCAGTAGCAGTGGGTTGTCTGTTAAGACTACACGGACAGTGCCAGAGATGGAACCCTTGGGAACAAGAGGTATACGACACAGAAACAAAAAATCCTTACTTTCCAGATGAGGATAAAAGAATGTTAGTATAAGGTCAGGAAGGTAGAAAAGAACAGCACACTCCTGTGAAGTGCAGTGTGCTTTCCAGAGGGTTCGAGGCACCACTGTCCCACTCATTTCTGCAGCCTCAACAATAAATAGGCCACAAACCACTGGCTTCAGTACACAGTCAACAGCTACAGACAACAGGATAAACTTGGTTAAGATGACAAGGACACTCCAAGATCGTGCTCAAGATCTCAGGGCTGCAGACTCTAGCATGTGGCAAGAGCAGATGTGGGGCATCTTTTCGGACAACTGAGAACCACTGTATGACTTCCAGTTTAGATTAAACTTGTCACTAGCACTTAGAGAAATGTCTACTGCTCTTCAACTCCTACATGGACAGATTAGCAGGAATCTACATGAGCACCCCAATAAACTTGTACAAACCATCACAATATACCCAGTACCACAGTCTTGCACAATGTTCAACAAAAAGCAGCTGGCTAACTGAAAGAAAGTTATGAAATCAATCTAGAGTCAAAGGTAGGGTTTTTTTAAAATTATTTGAATAAGGTGAATTTAAATCACTGGATATATTACATGGCACACTAAACACAGTTCAGTAATATCTTTGTTTCTGTTACATGTGTGGTTATGTGTACATGAGTTGTTAAGGTGTGTTTCTTACTGAGGATCACAATTAGCAGGTTTGAAAAGTCACCATAGCAAAGGTGGCTTTGAGACTGACACACTATCACTCACCTCAGATCATCCCTTCATGACCAGAGGATTGCTCTGAATTGGTGGTCAGAGGATTGGGCTCATTGTGCTAAGAGCGGCTGCCCTCTGGGGGACAGGTGAAAGGGGCAGGAGTCTAGGCTAAGCAGCACTCCTTTAAGTTCTCCTGCACCACCTCACACCCAGTGTCCTCATGAGGTGCTCTCATCACTCTCATCCCTGCTGGTTCTCCAGTTTCACCAATTCCCACCACTGCTGGCTGGGGGGACCCAAGCAGTTCATCGGGGTAACCGCTTTAAGGCAGGAAGGTGTCTTATGAACCAATGTCAGAAGCAAAACAGAAGGAAATTTTCAGAAACTCCTTGATGACCATGCATTTAGGAAGAGGAAGTCAGTCAAGTTTCTTTTATGACCTCCCAACAAACCTTTAACAGAAGGATGCAGGGAACCACAGGCCTCAAGTAACAGAGCACAAGTGGAAGAGGTCAGGGTCAAGTTTAAATCTCTCTCCATCTCCTAGTGACACTGTATGTGCATTTGTAAGGATGGGTTTGGGGAAAGTTCACATGCTTTTTCCTACTGCCTTGAGGAACTTTTTCAACCTGGTTCAGATGGGCATAAACCCACTGCCATTGTCTTTAGGGTCTAGTTTCATTAAAACATTTTATCTTGAGTACTAACCACATTTTATTAAAAGCTATAGTCTAGCACCAAGCAGTTGTTTCTGTTTTAAGATCCCTTTTCCCACTCACATTTTGAAGCCAAACCAGCACATCTCTATCCAGAAGACCCCCATGAAACAGCATCAGAATACCTTAGAAGCGAGGTATTTCACCGCATCCTCTCTTGGTCTCTGCTTTTCAGAAGTACCAGACCCAGCAGGTGTTTTGGCCACGTTGAGACCACTTGTGGAAGAACTTGGGGAAAGTAATGGAGTGAAAGGAAGGTCCTGGGTGGGATCTGAAGCTGGAGGAGAAAGCCACCCCAGTGTAATATCAGTACACAGCATAAGAAATGTAGAATATATTTCTGGATTAGTCCCATACAAACCCTGACTCCCTGCTGGAGTATGGCTTTCCTAGGTTACTATACTTCTTACTTCATTGGTTGAAAAAAAAACCTCACATGACCCTGTTGTTCTTGTTTCTACTTTAAGATATTTTCTTTGTAATAGTTTTATTACATATGAAATAAGCAGTGAAGCCAGGCATGGTGATCATGCCTAAATCTCAGCACTTGTGGAGGAGTGAGGCTAGATCTTAAGTTTGAGAGCAGCCTGTGATGCATAGAGACCTTGTGGTGAGAGAGAGAGAGAGAGAGAGAGAGAGAGAGAGAGAGAGAGAGAGAACTGAAATATTTGGTTATTCTATCTTCTGTTTAAGTTAGTGCTTATATTTTTGGTAAATCTAGCATTCAGTAAATCTAGCCAAGAAAGGCTGTGATGAACAGGATACAGGAAAGAGGGGGTAAAAGGAACATTCCTGAAAGAACGATGCATTAGACTCCATTTGTCCTCTTCTTCCAGGAGCCCAACCCCTTGATTTTTAAGACCCAAACTTCCCCAGATCACTTGATTAGACTCCTCTGCCCCTCTGTAGTAATGTGTAACTTACATGTGGACTCCCTCTAGTGAAAGGAGGAAGCAGGGGCTCTAGGTCAGAAGGACATGAGAAGACTGGCTCCCCCCAGACTGTAGCTAAATACACCCTATACCACTATAAGACCTTGTCTCAGAAAGAGGAGGGAGGGAGAAAGCGGGAGGGAGGCAGTCAAACAATACACCCCAAACTATGACAGATGAAGTATTCAGACTTAACCTACAATCACAGATCTGACTCAGTAGCTAGAACCACTTAAGGAAAACTGTTAATTCCTGCCTACAAATAGCAGTCTCTTCCATCCATCTTACATTAACATGAGCTAGACAAGCAGTAAACATGGACGTACTCTTGGGTGATGAACTGGGGCTGCTGGATGCAATCTGCCTCATGCGGCTTCCGTGGCAGCTCAGTGCCACCAACTTGGAAATGATGGCTGTCTTCCCAAATCCCACATTTCCCACAACCACTGCTCCTCTGTTTTCTGTCAGTTCTGTGTTCCTCAAATTTTCCTCTATCTGGTGAAAGAGCCAATCCCTTCCCACAAACACAGAGTCGGTTGTGATGCTCGGTACTTCAAACAGCAGGGGTTTCAACAAAATGTCCTGTGGCTTGTAGGGAGCAAATCGTGCTTTAAAAAAAAAAAATCGTTGCTTTAGGAGGATGCTAATTTAGTATATTCAGAAATAATATATCATACTTATCTAAGTATTTCCAACCTGGTCTTATAAATTCTTCGATAATACTTCATTTTTCATTCCCTATATGTTCCCCAAAGTATCCTTTTAAAATGACTCGCTCATCCTTTCACACATACAGAGAAAGCAGTGCAAAGGGCCAATTCATGTCTGGCTGGCTTATTTGAAAGTGTGTTAATGTGTTCCTTCTACCCCTCCTTAGGTAAAATGAGAACACAGTTTCCCAGACATAAGGGCACAGCTCTCATCTGGGGGCAATGCTTTTCCCACATGGTAGGGCCACTGACCATGCATCTGGGCATTACAGATAGCCACAGGATGTGGCTGACACAGTCTAAGGGTCTGAAACAAAACTGATGCTTTGCTAGTGGCTACTGCCTAATAAGTGTTAAACTATCTTTCACTTCAAAATAACTTACTGTAGAATTACTTTTCAATGCCAGAAGAAATTTAATCATACACTGTAAGGAAGAAGCCCAAAACAATTAAGGCTGGCTTAATAACAAGTGTGGAACATATTTCTGGATTAGTTGGGGGAAATTGTACATCCCCCAACCCTGTCTCCCTGCTGGAGTCTGGCTTTCCTATGTTACTATACTTCTTACTTCATTGGCTGAAAATTAAAAAAAAAAAAACAACTCACTGTAACAGTTTCATTGCATATGAAATAAGCATGCCTATAATCTAGCAGACTTAAGATACTTTTTAAAAGTACATACACACTTGACATCACATTTTAAAAACAGTTTAGATACTGGTTATCAGAGACTTTCAAGTTTAGTGAATAAGCTCATCATATGTCATTGCATGCAAGGATAAATACCTTTCACTTCCTGTGCCCTACCTCCAGCTGTATTGTGCCATGGCAACCTAATTGATGTCCGAAGAGGAGCATTTCTCTGCCCATCTAAATAACTCAGGTCTTCCAATTTGGTAGAGCTTGTTGCTGCAATATTAAAGTGAAATTTAGTTTAATGCCACATCTAAACTAGTGTAAGCTATAAATTATTAAATAATTAAGCTCCAACTTTCAGCAAAATTCAGGATAATTATTTGTTCCAACTTATTTTTCAGCTGTTAATTAAAAAAATGGAAAAAATTAAGCACTACTCATTTTTAAGGTATGTTGATCTGATTGCCAGAATTCTCCACTATTGCTTCAAAGACACTGACTTCATTATAAACCTTTTAAATGAAAAAACCAGTATCATACAGCAAAGCTTCAGTATTTACTGCTAATACATGACATAGAACTAGACTCTTCTTTGCAGTGCTGCTCACTGCTGTTGGAATTCCAAATGCTCTCTGCTGTTTGGAATTCCAACCTTTCTAATAAGCAGATTCCACATGTGCAGTTCCACAGTTCTCAGAACATTGTATTTTCACTGCCAAGAGCTAGTTTTCAAACACTTTCTCAAGTTCCAAGTACATATATGTGTCTATGTATATAAAATATGTATATATATGTGCTTTACATATTGCAATGTATTATCATGTTTATTTCTGACCAAAATAATAAGATTCACAGCATTTGGTTAACCATTAAAAGCATTAGGGGTCATTCACATGTACATACAAGTAGTAAAGATTATAAAATAACTAGCATGAAATAATTTTGCTTATTCTCAGGAAATCTTATAAATATATAGTACATGTTTTTGCCTTAAAAAAAAAAAAAAACCTGGGGGCTGGAGAGATGGCTCAGTGGTTGAGAGCACTGGCGGTTCTTAAAGAAGATCAAATTCCATTTCCAGCACCCACATTTTAGCTAACAACCATCTGCAACTCTAATGTCAGGGAATCTGATGCCCTCTTCTGGCCTCCACAGGACTTGCATGACACAGGTGCACTTACATTTATGCAGGCAAAACACACACATATATATATATATAAACTAAAAATAAATAAGTAAACTAGAAATACTTACTTAAATATATATCCTGAGTCAAAATTTCAGAAATGTAGTTTAAATTAACCTAATTTAGTTTATAGATTGTGTTCTAACATAAAGTGCTCTCAATCTTAGACACAAGATTATCTTCCAAGATAATAAAATATATATATCATCTAAAATGAGGAGGTCAGAAGAAGATACATTCCAAGGGTTAAGTTTTCTAAAGACTGCTGAAGTCATAGAACCAGTATGCAAGAGACAGAAGTCAGTTTGGGCCATGAGTCTTCTGAAAACCCTTTGGCTACTCCATAGGCTGAGACCAAGATCCAGATGCCTAAGCACCATCTCTCCTGAGGCCTTCCTACTTCCTCTCAGCTTTCTGTTCTTTCCTTCTTTATGGCTGCATCACTCTTCATTCTGGGGAGAGGCTCCATCCTGACTCAGGGATGTCCCAGTCTCTTCTCAATGCAACTCAAAGAGCATATGATTTACCTACGCACTCTCCCAGCAGAAGACTAAATACCTGAACCCTTCCCTTCAAGAGCATAGACCAGTGCTTCTGCCTCTTTATTAGTGCATATTTGCTGCCTAATTATACACTATATACATTTAAGTAATATTCTATATGTGGTAAAGAATGTAAGTACAACACTCCCATTAAAAAGATTAAGCTAAGCTAATACAGTGGTATATGCCTGTACTCCTACCACTTGGGTGGTGGAGGCAGGAAGATAAGGAATTCAACATCAGTCTACATAGTCAGTTTGAGGCCAATTTGGGCTACAAGAAACCCTGTCTCAGACAGATGATTGATTGATAGACAGACAGACAGACAGATAAGGAGAAAATTCCTTATGCAGGATTCTGTAGGATTTTCAGAGGTCTTCAGCAGGCCAATCCAATGACAGTCTTAAACTTCTCTCTAGATCTTGCATAGAGGGAAACTTCCTGGAGTGGCAACAGGGCCACCCCTACCTCTCTAGTTTCCCTCTAGCAACACAGCCTAAAACAGAATTCTAGGTTTATGCTTGAGGCCTGGCACTCTGGCCCTTGCTTAACATGCCTCATGTACCACTGTGCTTCAAGCAGAAGGGGCCATCAAGAGTGTTAGCCCATAACTCACTTGAGAATACAAAGATACAAAGACTCTCAAAAGGTTTCTGTTTCTCCCCTTCTCTGATCCCTTACAACATAATTTTGTGAAAACTGAAAGAACTAAAAAAAAGTGACTATAAAAGCCATTCCAATGGGGAAAAGAAAAACTAGGGGAGAAAAGCCCCAGTTTGACACAGATGCAGGAGATGGAGAGATTTTGAAGTATTTTCTGTTTTCAGATTTCCAGCCACCAGCGTCAGCACCAAAATACACAGCAGAGCAGCATGAGCAACTCCACTGTACATGGCTGATTCTCCATTCCTACCATGATTAAGAGCTGGGCACAGGATGCACACATGGAATCTCAGCACGCAGGTGGCTGAGGCAGGAGCACCATGGGTCCCAAAGTAGGCTGGGCTACAAAGTAAGACCCTGTTTCAGACAATAAACAAATAGACACCCATGATTAAACTGAGCTTAAAGCTGTAGCAGGACCTTAAACCAACAGCTGCAGTCACATCTGCTTTCCAAGGCGTTTTGAAGCCACTGAGCTACTGAGAGCAGGAGCTTGAGTCCTTGGCTGCTCTGCTATGAGCCTGAGCACTCCGCACGAGTGGAGCAAGTGACCATTCTGCCTTCTCACACAGATTCTCAGACACCAGTAATGCAAGAACCAGGCTCTCATTAGTTTAAAAAAACATTTTTAAAATTCTAAACACTATTCAGAGCCAAGAAAAATCAGAAATCAATTTGATGTTGCAGAAACCCACTGCTAACATCTCTGTGATTAAGTCATGCACCTACATGTGTGTGAACACACACACACACACACACACACACACACACACTCACACTCACACATACAGTGTTTTACATCTGAGGAACACATTTCAAAATGCTGTAGGAAACTGTTTGGGGGAGGGGTCTTCTTTTAAGCTAAATAAAAAGCAACATCTGCTAAATTTCCAAGTCATGGGCTAACCTACAAAATGTAAATGCCAGTAAGTCCAGGGCAATTACCAATTAGTGTTAAAAAATTTGGAACTCAGTTGGTAATTGTTTTTGTTGGTTTCATGGAGAATTAAACACAGTATTCTGTGATCCACTCTGAAAGGGTTTCAAAAGAAAAAAAAAGGAATAAAAACTAGCAGAACTTATTGCCTAACTACTAGACTATCTAACATACAATCTTAAAAGCATTGCATCCTGCTTTTTAATGAAGGAAAAAAATGTCCATATCATTCATTTTAATGTAAGGTACAACATTTCAAAGTCATCCCCTCTAAGAAATGCCTTTACAATATCCAAATCCAGCCAATTTATTTTAGTCTTTGATGAAAAATAAATTGTTCTTTGTACTCCACAGCAGACAACCAAGATTCTCTGAAGTAGACTCAGTGATAGCAAAGGTTGGAGATCTTACTCAGGAACTAGCTCTGCCCTTTCACTCCAGGTCCAAGTTCCATGGGCACCTTTCAACAGAGGCCTGGTATCCTTTTGCCACTCCTTACTCTACCCCATGAGCCCACTTTCCCTACCAAGTGGCAATTTGTGTTTACATGGATGGCTTGTGTTCCCAGGAGATTTCAGTATATAGTCCTTCACATTATATTTCAGTACTTCTAACACTGAGTTTTTCGGGTCTGCAGCCTGCCCTGTAACTACTAAATAAACAGTGCCGCATAGAGAGTCCGCCCTGTAACTACTAAAAAACAGTGCCACATAGAGTCCATACAATGGAGCATTATTCTTTTCCATAAACCTGAAACATGTAGCCATTCCTCAATTGAAGGTCAACTTTAAAGGTGGAAGGTGGGCAATGAAGAATCTATCAGATTCCTCACTTGTTAACAGATACTACAAAGTAGGGCACTTGCCTATTTCCTTTCAAATTGTGAACTAGATTTTTAATGTATGCAATCTAGGAGAGAAATGAACAAGCCCATTAGGCCAAGCAGTCTTTGCTTAAATCCAGAGGTAAAATCTCCCGTTCCACAGGAGGTCTAATCCAAGGGCACACACAGGAGTTACCTGAATAAGCACAGCAAAAATCAGACAGCTTTGCTCCATAATCAGGGTAGTCTCTGGAAAAGCTCAGTTCACACCCACCGTCCCTTCATAAAGCAGGAGACCACAACAAAGAGCATTAAGTAGAAAACAACCCTGAACCAGACTGTTAACAATGCTAAAATTAATATATTATTGTGTTTCCTAATTTTAAAACAGATTAATTACACTGAATGCAAGTGTGATATTTTGTTGAAGAAAATAAAGTTGTCAAGTTCTAGGACACAAAAACGATCCACTCATCATAACTACGGCCTGAAACAGCTTGAGTACAACATATCAGGTTCAAGGGGTGGGCCAGTGATGGGGATAGGGAGCTTTGAAACCATCAATCAATACACATAATGCTCTCTAGTACTTCTCTCTGGCAGAAGGGCCAAATCCCTTTTCTGGAACAAGGCCATTTTGCTTCCTTTGAAAGTGAATTAGAGTTGTACCTCACAACTTTTCCATTAAGGCCATTTATTTACCAGGTGCTTTAGCCTTCCATCATTTAAAAAAAAAAAAAAAAACACCCAACAACAGCCAGAATGACCTAGCACATACCAAAGGAGCAGTATAAATTAGAGAAAAATCTTTTGATGTGCAGACTTGGTGTGCTAGTAGGGGAGACATTTTTTTAAAGCATTATACTACAAACAAGTACCTCTTCTGAATTCATGAGCAGGGCATATAAAAAAAGGTAAGACTTTCAAAAGGGATGACAGTAGAGCTCCACACCCCTCCTTGTTTGAGGATGGGCCCCTGACCAGTCCAACAATCAGCCCACACAGCCATAGCCTGCTCTCGTACCCCCATATAGGCTTTCAGTCGTGAACTCCATTATAACTCCATCACACAGAAACATCTGACCTCCCATCTATGATGAACTTCAGTCAGATAAAACAAAGGTTTAAAATTGGATTAGAAATTCTTCGAGCTGATAACAACCTCACTCTAAATAATTCCTGTATATCACGATGTAATAAGAAGTAGAATTCACTAAAGCTTAAAAGAAACACCAAGGGCAGAATTTTTGAACTTTCTAATCTCATCTACAAAGAGCCAACTGTACAAATCATAGATTTAAAGAATTCCAGAGTGAAAGGATTACTAAAGGTCATTAAGTGGAGCCTTATATGTTTACAGATGGGTAAACTGAGGCCCAGGGAAACGATCATAATGCTGACTTTTGTCTGGATTAACTTTCCAGGTGAAGACAGCAAACCCAGGGCTCCTTGGGCTTGGCAAGATGACCCTTTCAGGGAGAGGCATGGCCTTACCTGCAACTGAGTTGGGCCGTGGCATTATTAGCGAGCTGGAGCTCTGAGAATAAGGGACAGGACCATCTCCAGCTGAGGATTCTGCCTTGGGCAGCACGTTCTCTGCTGACCCAGTGGTTTCCTCTTCTGCCACTGGGGAGCAGTTATCTGCCCTGCGGTCATGAAGCACTCCCTTCTGAACCCCTATCCTTAGGCTTCCATCTTTATTCCATTCCAAACTGGAGCCACTCCGGTCATCATTTTCCGATGAACTTGTAATTGTGGCTGAAATGAGAGATCAGAATACTTTGAAGGCAGCTAGGCACAGCTGGGGCTGTTGAGAGTTAACACACACACACACACACACACACACACACAC